CCAAATAGATCTTTAGCATTTTAACTCTGATTACTATAGTGTTCATTAAGAAACAAACAAAATATTCAAACCAAATATGTATCAAATTCATTAGCTTTAACTTTGATTAGTAGTATTGACAAAATGACTACATTTTTTATATATCCTGCCATGCTGCTGCAACCTGCTCACTTACAAGTACAACCAGCTGGCCAATATCAATATATAACACAAAATCAATTAAAATTTGGTAAAAATTATCACATCGATTTTGTTTTTGTTTTTTGTCACAAAATAACAAAAATAGATTTGTTAGTGAGGTATGGATGGTCGGACTGCATCTAGAGAATCGGATTAAGAGAAAAAGAGATCGAGAGAGTGATAAAGAGATTGTTGTTGGAAACTGAAGGAGAAAGAATCCGAGAGAATATGGAACTTCTAAAGGAGAAAGTAGGACAATCGGTTAAACAAAATGGTTAGGCATATCGAGCTTTAGAACATTTGGTTGATCATATATTAGCTTTCTAGTTATGCGTGTTGTTTATTTGCAATTACCCCTTCTAGTGATTGATGCATGTTGTTCAACCCATTCTTTTTCATTAATTTATAAGGCTCTTTAGAGCAATAAATTGAAAACAAACATCATCAGTAAATCTTGCAGAGCAAATCGCGATCTTGGATTAATTGTTGAGAGTCTGATCTGAAGATAATCTTGGTGTATCTTTGATCTGATGCTTGAAAGATAGTAAATCTGAGTGCTGCTAAAGCTGAATAGACGTTACCGGAGGTTGTCGAGTGAACCGAGACTTGATCAGGAGTGGTCGTAAACGTCCATCCCAATCCTGCCGATCCATCATTCGCAAGCCAGGCTGCATCTGTATGGCAGATGATGTACCCTTCCTTGTTGAGGGGAATTCGATTGAGCCAAATTCCAAGGGGCTAAGGCACCTATGTCTCAGTGCTATCGCATCTGCAGCATTTCGTACTTTTAGTGATTCCCCGATCGAATACTTAGTTGCTTTCCACATACAATAGTTTAATCTTTGGGGGAGCCTTACTCTACAGGTGAGGTATTGATAGCCCTTCTCTCTTTCTCTTCTGCAGCTATAAAATATCCGGACTTTGTAGAGTAATCTCCACTCTGGTTTCTCAGCCATACCCTTGGCTCCGAGAATACTTGGTTTCATAGCTAGTATTTGTTGCTTGTAACTTGGGATGATCTGCTCCATTTTTTCGCATTAGCAGGGGCCGATCAAGTCAAGAAGGATGTTTCACAGCAATGTTTCCCAAGCAGAATTCTGGATAGGTGAATTTATTAATCTCCAGCTT